TTATTTTTCTTTTATTAAAATTATTTGTCACTATGAGAGTATTATATACGATATGTAAATAATGAACTAAATAGTCTATCATCTCTCTCTGTTGCTGTTTTTTTACATATGTGATAAGTGTAGTTATTCATTGAGTGGATGGATGATTATGTGTGTCTTATATTCAACTCTTGAATCCATATCAATCCTTGCCATATACATGTATTATTCTCCGACAACAAGCTGAATATTATAATAAAGTTTTCCAAACTTAGTATCAAGTTTGTAACTTTGATTATATGTACAAGTGTCATAGTTCTTTTTTTCGAATTATCAATGAAAAAAAGTAAACTCAACTGCAGTTGTTATTGTTTTATACAATTTGTTCTATTGAATGTAATAATTCACTAATTAAAATGAACAGGCACGTTTGTATTTAGTTTTTTTTTCTAAGAAATATGGATTTCTAAAACTTCGACAAAATAATCATCTGTCACTCGTGATATAGTCGACGATTGTTTTTTTGAAAATCGCGGTTAATCGTTCAAATCGAGGCGATTTTAAAGACATGGATAATCAATTTATCTGGCAAAGAAACAGAAAATGCTAAAATTGAGTCTATTTCGGCATAACCACATTGGATAGTTTTATTGAAACTTCAGAAATTAATTCGCTCCTAAACAATCACTTTCATATCATTGTAATAAACTATAAGATAGTTCCATTTATCTTAAACCGATGAAAGTTAATGTATCATTAATCAATGAACATTTCTTGTACCAAACTCATAAAAATTTTTTCAATATAGACATAAAAAAGGTTCATTTACTAAAAATATTTTATTGTCTATGTATATTACATAGGTTGTTCATATTATGAATATTTTTTCGCTGGTTATTCGTGCTAGGAACAGTGCTTCTAATGAAAGCAAACTTAATTACTCGCAAACTACCGCTATTATTCAATTAGTTTACGAGATAATCAAATCATTTTTGCACTATTCGATACAGCAGACATTTGTGTACTAAAATATGTAAACTTACAAAGCTTTCTTTTTATTATTTTGAGAAAATGACTTTAAAAAAAAAAGTATTGAGACCTCTAAAAAATCTGTTCTTATCAGAAACATTGACTGTATGTCCGTAAATAGTGTTGACTTTTTTTTATAGATTGACTTAAGTGGAAAACCCGACTCTATATCGATTATGCACTGCTTTTCGTACATTCCTTAAAAGCGAGAGTCCACGTATATAGACTAATCTTTGGAATACTTTTTTCCATATTTTCTACAAAATAATTGTTCAATAATTTAAACCACACAGAGAAGTAAACAACGATGTTGTTTATTCTTACTTTGTTTGAACTCTCTTCGAATTCATAAAGCGATACTTTCTTATGAATATATTTGCCATGATAATTTAGTTTGATCGAAACTTTTTACTAAGAAATGGCATACAGATGAATCAGAATATGTGTGGATATTATGAACGAAACGAATGCGACCTTTGTTGGCATCAATCCCTGTTTTCTATCAAGTATGCATTAATAATGAATATGATAACAGAAAGCTGCCAAAGTCGAAATTAATTATTTGCTATTAACTTCGTCTTAGTTGTGTTTATTTTCTTAAGCATTGAAAGTATACTGCTATTGATAACTAATAAAAGAGTTGTCAGTCATAAATGAAATCTATATTTACAGTTGAAAGGTCTAGATTCGACACAATAGCAAGCTTTTTACTGGCTATCCTATAAATTGGTATTACTAATTTACGTGAACAGTCAATTTTGTAAGATCGCATATACGTCATCATTACGAATATCTGCATCTTAGAAAGTTATATCTACGAACATCAAAAAGGTCCATATTAACAAGTTGATAGCACCAAACTTACACTTACGAACATCTGCAGAAACATTCAATCAACTTCTGAGGTATAATTATCGCGAACAAAACCTCGAAATACAAAAGCAATTTCCTAGAAAAAACACCATTTGAAGAATTTTCTAAATCAGGAAAAGAAGTTATTTTCTTTATCAAAAACTACAGGAACTGATCGTCAATGTAGTTGAGTCGCAGAAAAAATTAGAAAGCTATTATTTCTTTAAAAAAATCTTTTCAACTTAAAAGAAATTGATGAAGCAAAATAAAGAACAGTCAAAAAGAAGATTATCCATGTCGAATGATGAACTAGTCTTACTCAGTGACAACTAGAGATCAGCGTGACCAAGTTTTTTTAATCACGGTCACGGCAGTTTAGTTCTAGTCACGAGCCGTAAATCATTGTCATTTTCTATTTTTTTGGTGATGTATAGGCTTTATTTTCTCAATAAAAGAATATGATCACGGATAAACGAACGAATATGGGAGTTGAAAAAATTGATTGTATATTATTTTTAAGAAAAAATCTTAATATTCTCAAGAACCTATTGAACCCAGATCCGAATGAAGGTGAACAGTCTGACATAAAACAAAAGAAACATCAACAAACAAAGAAATTTCTTAATAATAATTCAAAAAAGTCAAGAGTAAACGAAAATGATGAAGTTATTAGTTAAAACAATAAAACTATATTTAGTCGATTTATTTTCTCAGGAGTTAAATATATATATATAAATGTTTATTGTCTACAGTAGTTTTAAAAAATGTATCCTACATGTTTTCCTTGAGTGATTACGACAGTTATGTTTATTATTAACAAAAGTTGCAGCAAATAAACATTTCCAACGATTTGCTGCTTTGAAACCAGTTGCTGGTGTTATAGAAAAATTATCCAACGCTGAAGTTGGTGCAAATATTGAACTAATGAGCTTTAGCGGAATGATGACAGTAAATTATTTTTAATCTAGTAGTTTTTTTTATTCTATATATGTTCTTATTAGATTAACATTCCACCACCACCAAGTGATCGGATATGGTAAGAAAAAAATAAAAAATTCGATTTTTGTATTTCTTAAGATTATTTTTTTTTGTAGGATTGGTTTTTCTGAAATGCCTGATTTAAATCTTAAAGTAACACCTGTATTTGGTGAAAGTAAATATTCCTATACATTGATTCATGATTTTCTGGAAGCACGAATTCGAGACGAAATTAAAGTAAGTTTTATAGAAAAACAAAAACAAAACAAAAATTTATTTTTCATTTTTTTTCTTAGCGTCTTCTTGTACTTCCAGCAATGGATGATCAATTATTACCATTTTTTCGTGATTGGGTTCTTGATATTATGTATGTAATTACATTACTAATATTCATCTTTTTCTTTACTATCTTTTATTTCAGTGGTGAAATAGCTTCGAAATCCTCGAATCAGGATATGAATCGAACAAGCAGTGAAGAGTTTTAATATTTTTATTTGTTTTTTTTCTAAAGTGTACATTGTTTTTTTTTATTATTATTTATGTATCGGAGAATGGAGACAAAAAAAACAATTAAATATCAATATATAAATTATCATGATGAGTTTTTATATAACTCATAACAGGTGAATGAAGAAAACATTTCGAATTTACTAAATCATTTTCAAGTTGTGTTTGTTCTTCTAAATTATCTTTTGCGTTAAACCATTGAGTAAGATGATTACGAACAATTGATGAACTAACAGATCGAAGAGGAATATTTAATAGAATAAAATCTTTTGGATTATGAATAAGATTTTTATCAAGATCATCTTGCCAAATTGTGAATAGATCGATTTCATCTTCCATTAGTCGACCAACACCTACACGAATAACGGATGTTCGATTTTCAGATGGCTTTCGCCATATTGGTACACCTTTTTTCACCATTCGATCACCACCAATTAGAATTAAAACTTGAATATTATCATTCTTTAATAGACGTTTAAGACGCTGACCAAGCGCCATTGCTGAACCATCATGTTGTTTTAACATTTCTTCTTGAAATGGACTATTTAATAGCCATGGTACATCTTTCATTGCTTCATAAACAAGTGCGAGACGATGTTTAAGTTTAATTGTACGTTCATTTCGTGAATGTAGTTTATGAGATACATAACCATCTGTTGCAACAGCTAGATATCCACCTAGAATATTCCATTCACTAGTAGCTTCAAGTTTGTCTTTAGCAAGACAAAGCAGAGCTATATGTTGTGTATGTACAGGATTGAAAGCACCACCAATGATCAATATTGCATCCTTCATCTTATTCTTGTTTTTCGTCCTGTGAAAAGAACGGTTGTTGTTTTTATAGTCAGTGTTCTTTTTCTTTTGACTCAACAAAGCAAACTGTTATGCAATAACTAAATTTCATCACATCAAAATCTGGTTACTTCCTTCGATATTTTTCGTTTGACAAATTAATTCTACAATCCAACATTCGCAAAAACAAAACAAAAAAACAAATTCTTGTTTTTGTTCGTTATAGATATGTTTACATGACACATATTGTGAAGCTGTCTTGTTTCACTTTTATGACGATACACTATTCAGTCAAGGATAAAGTTTGATTGGTTCACAAACGAATCATAAGTCTATATTTATGTCTATTGTTATTTATAATGAGAGAGTATATACTTCGCTTTTGACTTAACACTTCAAATACGTCACCTAAATACACTCACACACGTTTACATCTTAAAATGATCGAATCAGATATAAATAAAGAAATGTTTTTTTTATAGAAGGTACATGTGATAAAACGAAAATGATAATTTTCTTTCTATCTTATACAAAGATACTATTGTTTTTATAGTATTATATTCATAAAATAAGTTTATTAACTCAACTAGCAAGTATGGCATATGTATATGTAATAGAATTAAAGATTTATTTTTCTTCATGAAACTACTTATCAAATATTATTGTAGTAGAATGGTTTTTTTATTAAAGTTTGCTTGTTGCTTCACGAAACAAAAGAATAGTGAATGTTTTTAACTGTCCAAGAAAGCTGTTAGCGCAATCCCTGGCGGGATTAAAATGTGAAACACAATCTAACTGTTGTTTCTACCTTGAACAAGATAGTTTGATTGTATCATTATGAAGCGGCTTTTACCTCATTCTATGGCATAAAGGTATAGAAATATCAGAAACAAACAATTTACATATGATGAACTCGCTTAATTTGCATTTTTACAGTTGTTACAAAATTTAAGAGAAAAATCGATTTATACAAAAGAAAATACTCACGTGTCTATCTTTTCTAAACAGTATGAGTTCAATAGCTTCAGTTTGTTCTGAAATTCAATGTTTATCTCTATGACGGTCACAGTCTGTGACATAATCAAAAGAACATCTGTCATTTATGATTTGTGATGCTACGTTGGTTACCTATATGAATACCTATGATGCCCTGTCGGTCAGGTCTGTGTCCAGGTCAAGAGAACATGTGTCGGTCACGTCTGTAGGAGCGAAGTGAAGGATAGTGGGTGCAAATTTCTGCCCCTAAACACTTCAACATTCCTTTTATATCGTGTTTTATAAAATCATTTAAGTTCATTAAATTAGAAAGATAAATCTATTGTTGAAATAATAGAGGTATATAGAATCAAACAATAATTTTACACTAACTTATGTAACCATTTTGTTATTTGAAGAGATCAATCTATAATATTAAATGAAGAATATGCAGCGAATGATTGTATTGTGAAGTGAGATAATCACCCCCACACAGTATTCGTTGGACTATTGTGCTTTATCGTGAACGTGTGTATTCACGATAGATGAAACTTTAAATCGAAATTTAAGCCTTTTTAGGTCCGAAATGACATGGAGATAGAGTTGGAACAGGATTTGTTAGAAAAAGAATGGCTTTTATAAGGGAACCTGTGAAAAAAACGGGTGGATTTGAGGTGCTCTATAGCCTGGGTTGTTCTATTTCAGATATGTATAGCGGGCTATGTTGGGATAATACATGAAAAATTTCAAACACAACTCTCTGCATTTCCTGTCTTTTTCAGACATATGAAGTTTTCGGTCTATAAGGTTTTGAACTAACATCGGGTATCTCCGCTAGTATACATATAAACATGAAGAGTATACAGATAAAGGAAAAAAAACGGATATTTTATTCGATAGATTTTTATTATTCTTTACTTTAGATCAGTATCTTATAACGTTCAAACATGGTTCTACGAAAACTTTCAAAACATGAACACGAATCACGCATTATTGTTGATAGAAATAAATCGATAAGACAACTTGTAGTATCAAATGATGATTATGAAGCAGCAGTTCAAGCTCATACACTCTCTCCCAAATCAAAATGG